TTTTTTTTTTTTTTTTTTGAGACTGCATAGTTAATAAAAATAAAGAAAAATTAATTGTAATTTTAATAGAGTAACAGCCCAAAAATATCTAACTCAAAAATATCTGACCCTTAATTTCAACCATCCAATTCCAATCTTCCCCAGCATCGAATCCCAACCGGTCACCCGTTACACTATAAATCTTCTCTCTCCTCACTCTCTTTCTGGCCTGTCTTCCTCGGTGGGCTGTTTGAATACGTTTCCAAATCAAACCCTCACTCTTTTACACAGAACTCACACCCGGTGGCCCACCTCTAGATACACATATAGAGACATGGATTCAGATCAAGGGAAGCTGTTTATTGGAGGGATATCATGGGAAACAGATGAGGAGAAGCTGAAGGAGTATTTCCAAGGCTATGGTGAGGTTTTGCAAACTGTGGTTATGAGGGATAAACTCACTGGTAAGCCCAGAGGATTTGGATTTGTTGTATTCGAAGATCCAAATATTCTTGATAGGGTCCTTCAAGATACACATGTCATTGATAACCGCACGGTGAGTTTACACTATCAGCAGTATGTTCTTTCTTCTTTCTATTTTTTGGGTTTTTAATTTGGTGTTCATCTTAGTGGAATCTGGATATTTGTTAATATGAATTATGGCTTCACTGAATTTCTTTTTTTTTTTAATTATTTTGAACCTTAGACCATAATATTTGCAGGTTGTCTGTTTGGGAGTCTTGTATTTTTTGATTCCTGTTTTTTTTTTTTTAGGGGGCATGCCATTGTGCCATTCTAATATTCTGCTCCCACCTAATGTGTATTTTGGATTATTATTGAGCTTAATACATTTTTTACAGCATTTGGTGGGCAGTTACAGTTTTTTTTTAATATTTGATTATTGACCTTATTTTGTTTAACTTCATGTATATGGTTATACTGTACTAAGGCTTTTGATGTGTTTGTATTCATGGATTTGTTTATTTATACCTTGATACCAGTTCTCTTGTTCATTTTTCTATGGTGTGGATTTTACTAATTCTTTGGTTACACGCCAGTTTGATGCGAACGAAAATTTCCCCAATGCATAGTAAAAATCTTCCCTTGTGTTGTATTGAGTTGTTCTTTTGATAGGTTGTGATATTTCGTGTTTATAAATGCTAATTTGGGTACTGAGACATTTTACCTATGTGATGCAAGGTGTAAGCCTCGAGATAATTCAATAAAATTATTGAAAAGAATATAGATGGACATAAACACGCTTATATAAACCATAAACAATCTTGAAAATCTATCATAAAACAAGTTATCAAAATTAGTAGTATTACTTGTCAAAAAATTTAAAATAGATTAATAACGTGGCAAGTAATAAGTTCTTAAATCAGTAACAAAAAATTGTAATATACTAATATAAGTGGAGATAATCTTGAAATCTCTTATATTATTGCTTCTATTATCTTAATTAAGAGAATCATTTATTTGATTCCCTCATTATCCTCCATTTCTAGCAATTTTTTCTCATTCTTTATCATCATTCTCCACTTGCGACGTGCTACCATTCTGCTTTTGCTTTTCCTTCTCCATTCATGTAAAGGCTTAATAAGCTAAATAAAAGCACTCATAAAATGTTCTAGGCTATAAAGAAAATAGATAAAAAAAACTTGAAGCCAGTAATAAAATGTCCAAAAAAGGCAACACGAGTGAGCGCACACCTCAGCTACCCTGAGGCGTAGACAAAAATCTTTTTAAACGATGGTTATATTAGTATTTTCTGCCCTTTCATCTTCACTGCTATTCACTATTTTGGCATGAAATTGCTAGGTTTAGGTCAAATTGCAAAAGCATACACTGGGTGAGTTTCTTACTTGTGCATGTATTTTGTCATTTGATTTGAAACTTGCTGAATTGGATTACTTTGTGTGACTGAATTCATTTTTCTGCCATTATCGATTTGATGTATCTTTTGTTTTACTTCTGTGCATATCCTTAATCTGGGTTCTCAATCTTTTCATTTCAGCGATTTGATCGATTTCAAGTGATAATATAATTATGTCATGCAATCAAATACGTGAAAAGACAAGGATTTAAATATTTTTCAATCTATTCCTTAATACTGGGTGGTGGAACTATTAATTCAATTAAAAGACTAGGATTGTGCTAAGTTGTGTTTGAAGGTACATTCCTGTCTCTGTGTATGCGTGCACTTACACTTGTATATATATAATTTGGGTCTTGGTTTTAGGTATGTATTGTCTTTTTTCTTTACGGTTATCTATAGATGGTTGTAGTATTCTTGTGTTTTTTGCTGGTTCATGATGGTTTATGTAAGCTGCATATAAATGGATAGCATTCTTGATTACTAGATTTCACCCTAGGCTGGTACTTATATTGATTTTTTTTTATGGTGGTTCTTTATTTCATTTCATGTGAATGGACTATTACTCTCATTTTATAATCATCCCATGTTAATAGTATTTTTTATTATTCGTTAAATTTGGTGTTGAAGTTGTTTTATGGTATTGTGTTGGTATTAATTTAAGATATTCACTTGAAAGGTCTGTAAGATTTTACTTTATTTTGGTTAACTTGGTGTAACAAAAATATGGATGGATATTTACTGTTTCAATTATGTTTTTTGTATTATTCTTCTTCTGCATAACCATTTTTTTCCCCTCGAAAGGTTGAGGCAAAGAGAGCTTTATCAAGAGATGAACAGCAAACTTCAAAAGCTGGAAGTTTTAGTGCTTCTAGAAACTTTGGAAGTGGTGAGAGTACTAGGACAAAGAAGATATTTGTTGGGGGATTGCCCTCAAATATTGATGAAGAAGGATTCCGTCATTATTTTGAAGCTTATGGAACCGTAACTGATGTTGCAATAATTTATGATCAGCAGACCAACCAACCTCGTGGATTTGGGTTTATTTCATTTGATTCTGAGGATGCAGTAGATAGAGTTTTACACAAGACTTTTCACGATTTAAATGGTAAGCAAGTGGAAGTGAAGCGTGCTCTTCCTAAAGATGCCAACCCAGGTGGCAGTGGCCGTTCCATGGGTGGTGGAACTGGCAGCCGCGGCAGTTATCAGGGATATGGTCCTCCTGCTGGCAATACAAACTCCTATGATGGTCGAATGGATTCCAACAGGTACATGCAGTCTCAAAATGCTGGAGGTGGTTATCCACCATATGGCCCATCGGGTTACATTGCTTCTGGTTATGGATATGGTCCTGCCACTAATGGCATGGGTTATGGTGGCTATGGAAATTACGGAGGTGGGAATTCTGTATATGGTGGTCTTTCAGGCTCGGTTTATGGAAATCCTAGTGCTGGTTATGGTGGTGCTCCAGTAAATGCTCCCCGAAGTTCTTGGGGTTCACAGGCTCCCTCTGGATATGGGAATCTGAGCCATGAAAGTTCTCAATGGGGGAGCGGTGGCCTGGGTAGAGGTGGGATCGCTACTGGTCAATCTCCTAGTGGAGCTTCTGGATATGGAAATCAGAGTTATGGTTATGGCAGAATTGACGAAGCTTATGGTAACTATGGGGCTATCGGCGGTCATCCAGGAAGTGGTCCAAATGGCCATGCATCCGCAGGAGAGGGACAAGCAGGTACTGGCAGTTATGATGCTAGTGGTAATCTAGGATATGAAAACTCAGGATGGCAATCTGATCCTGTACAGGGCTCTGGCAATTTTGGGCAACAATCAAATGGGCCTAACGATGGCCAAGTTGGGTATGGTGGTGGGTATGGTAGTGCACCAGCTCGACCGGGTCAGCAGCAGTGACTATACCCTTTGATTTCATCCATCCTCGTAGGAGGTTTTCCATCAATGCTTCTATTCATGTGCATGGTAGATAGCTCATGCAAGATGCCACCTGTGTATTGGGACCAGTTTGGATTGCTTGATTCCCATTAGTTAGCAGTACTTGCTTGCTCAATCTAGAATAAGTAGTAAATCTTGAGGATTAGTATTACCTCACATTCTATTTACTTTAAGAGTGTAGTTTCAGATTCCACTTGCTCTTATTTCTATGTTCATGGGATGATCTTAGTCCTTGCTTGTCATAATGTTTGACGTATTGTAGCTTATATTTAATTTTATTTTAGTTAAGCTGGACACATCTTGGATAATTGAGTTATTTGGTTATGAAATATTTTTATTTCCAATTATGTATCAGATAGAACTATGTCTATTACATTCTCGGGTAGATCAATGCAACAATGGGCAACAATAATCTTATTGGTAGTGAATTTTTGTCAATGGTATAATCATTTCTCCCCGTATTTGCACCTTTGATATACAGGAGGGGAAGCTCGCTTTATATGCCAGGTGAACTGAAGTTTGCACTCAAGCTAAGCACGAGCTCAGTGCAGGGTACATGTTTAGCATGGAACGGGACTCAGTGAACTCGACTGGGGTGAAATGATTCATTGAGCTGAAATTGTTTGTGCTGATGCTGTCGAGCTGGAATTTCTCAATCTTCATTGAGGTATTTGGGTAATCAAGATTAACTGCAAACAGTTTTGGTATATTGATCTTCTTAGAATAGTATTCATTTCATGATACGTGCCGTTAACTATTTCTTGATAATTTCAATGAACTGTCGTGAACTGCCTGGAACGTATCCAAGTATATCTGGATTGCTTTTTTAGGTCGAGAGAACCGATCTTGTTAGTTCTGGATATCTTCATTTTATTAAAATTTTGTTATCACTTAACATAGCTCATTTTTGCATTCTGAACTACACTCCATGGTCCCAGTATTGTTCTACCCACAAGTTTTCGAATTTATTCTGGGGGTGAATGTAATTGCACACTTTACATGTAAAATCTTGGATCAGAAGTGTAAACCAGGTTGTGCTGGTCCACACGGTTTGGGTGGACAGGTTCACGGCACAACTGGGAAGTGCTGGAACTAGTACGGAGTTGGCTAGGAACTGCTGTAGCCGAGCCTGGCATGGCATGGTATGTCTCTGGGGCATGCTTTTCGCGTGCAGCTCAGCACATTTTGACACGTCTTGAAATTGTGTTCTGTACTTTCGTTTTATGTTGGTTCACTGAACACTTTGATGCAAGGTAAAAAAATGAAGGTTATTTTGTTTTCCTTTCCTTTATTAATTGCAAAAAGGGAACCCTGAGGGGTTGTTCAATTGGTCAGGCCTTGGGTTTGCTCCCCAATGGTCACCAGTTCGAGTCCCCTCAGGGCCACTGAGGTGAGTATTCAGCCGTAAACTTCAGGGCCCCGTGGAATTAGTCGAGGTGCGAGCAAGCTGATCCGAATATCCACGATTATCAAAAAAAAAAAATTAATTGCAAAAACGGCAATAATATTTCCATTTGACTGTTGGAAAATATCCAATTTTAGTGATGGGAAATGCTACGTATTTCCTATAATGGTTCACATAAGGGCCACATGGCGCCCCTCCAATGGAGAGGCGCCATGTGCTCCTTATGTGAAGGGTTATGTGTAGTGCTATGTACCCATATAGCAGTACTCTTTTAGTGATTTAGTCTAGGACATAAGAGAAAATAGCAAATGGCAAACTGTTTTAGAATTAATTTTAGTAATTATATTTCCACCACGTTGCAATGAATACTACCAACCTTTTGCTTATTTTTGTACTAACATATCAAATTTTTTTCTTCACTTTCTTATCCTTTCCTTTCTATTAGTTTGGACGTTGTGTTTTATATAATGGTTTCCATTCAAAAGCTCGGGAGCAAGGCATTAAATATTTATTTGCCTCTTGTATTTTTATATAAACGAAATAAATAACAAGTATAAAAGTTTGAAAATAGTGTTTGGCCCCATTCGAAACACTTTTGATTTAACAAATAAAACTTCAAACATAAAAGAACATTAAGATTTTTAACCATGAGGCTAGATGTTAACTCAAAAGGCCTACTCTGATGATATTGAGCGTCCACAGATGTGGTTAACGCTCTAAATTCACTAGCACGAGCAAAATGTTCAAGATTACAAGCTAAATATCGAAAAGAACTCTCTCGAAGTTAAAAGATCTCTCTTAAACTTTCGTTTAATCAGATTATACCAAGTAAACAGAAATTACTGTACACAAAAAATAGTGTCTAAAACCTCAAACTCTCCATTTACTATTTCTCACAAAAAATATCAGAAATCAAAAGTTACATGAAGAAAAAGGACGAACAGAGGGAAACATCACAAAGAAAATCTCTCTTAGAAGATATCTCATATTTAAATGAAATAAGCAAATAACCTAGTATCAAAGGCCACCAATCTGCCACTTGTCATCATTTCAACATTTCACATTGTTTTAACTAAAATCGCAGAACCAAAGCACGATGTTACAAGTATCGAGGCAACCGAGTTAGGCCAATCATTTAAATCATTGGGCCAAGTCTGGTTTAATAAATTCCACATTCCCAAAGATGTTAAACATCTATTTTTCAGCCTAACACCACTAGTCGAGAAACTCGTGTAAACGAGGTTAGGTGGAAATTATTAATCGAATGCACCCGGATGATGCAGCCTGAAGTAAACTTATTTAAATGATATTGAAAGGCACCTTGCAAATGAATTCATCGTGTTAGCTGGTCGTCTATGTTTATTTCAAATGCAAAATAAAATAAGCTGACTAATTTGATTGATGAGCTATTTGTGTTCAACTGGTTGAATGCTAACTAATTATCCTTGTTACATCTTTGCCAGTATGGCAAGCCACGTGGTCATCAGCTAAGACGGAGATGTCACGTAGGCACTTTTTGAGATTATAGCCCATCTTCCAAGGCGATGAAGAAACAACACATCACTGCGTCAATTACTACTTTCTAAGGCATGCCTCATCGACATAACTCTGAGGCAAGATAACTTGATGCAGGGTTGTCACTGTCTCTCTTTATGATGATATTTGGATTGTGATGCTTCACTAAATAACATTGGCCTCCATGTCTGAAGTGGTATGGACTAACCTTCACCCCCTTGTATAAATGACGATTATGACTCATGGAGTCTCGTGAGAAGTGATAGATGTAATGTTTATTGCAATGACAATTGAATTCAAACATTCTTTTACCCTCTTAGGACATTGTGCGGGTCAGGGCCTATTGATGCTTATGATGCAACATTGTGATGTAATGGAGCTTAATCGGTGATCCATTGGGATGAGACCACGTGTCAAGTATCTTGAGAGCCTCCATCAATTTGTCTTGCCTATAAATACTCACGTTTATTTCCATCAAGTGATTGGTAACTTCGTGGCCAAGGAGAAAAGTATGGTTGTACACCTAAAGCAGGTGATGGACCATTTACCACTCTTTGAAAAGTTTGAACTCATCCAAATTCCATGGGTCAATACTGCCAAACCACATAGCAAAGATATAGAGTTGCTCAATATCATGACCATCAAGCATCAAAAGAGGCAATGTCAATAGAAGGGGCTTGTGGATGGATGAAGCCAATCATTGAACACCTCAAGGATCTAACCCTCCAAGAAGACAAGAGGTCCACAAGTTGCAAAGAAGAGATGCTCACTTCATCTCCGAGGACATGGTGCTTTACAAGCGAGGCTTCTCCATGCCTCTCCTTCAATGTATTAGAGGCAAACATACGAATTACGTCTTGAAGGAGATCGATGAAAGGATATATGAGAATCATGCCAGTGGCCAAGAATTGGCATAAAAGGTCTTGAACAGGGATATTATTGGCCTATGATGAAGAAAGATTCTAGAAACCAATTTGCCCTACTAAACCAATTTGCATAAACTGGAAGCCAAAATACTTGTTGCATTGGTTTCCTATTGGAATAAAGTTGTTGATATGTGTACTCTATCTTTGCCAATGAGTTTTCCCACTTTTCAGGCAAGTTGTAGGCGTCAAAGACGGCAGAATTGAATTGGCTAAGAAGAAGCCGGTTCCTTCTGCCAAGACTAAGGTCGCCACATTCAGGTGTGAATTTTATTTAATCAAAAATTAGGTAGTGAATTAATAATTAAATCAAGTATTAAATATTATATATCCAATCCCCCTCCCCAAATTTCCTAAATCTAATCCAAACCCTAAATAATCCATTTTTCTCCACTCTCTCACTTGCACCACCGTCCGTCGCCTCCTTCCCTTCTCCTTCCCCCTCACTCCCTTCTCATCTCTGCCGGCGTCGCAACGCTGCGGTGAACGGCAGCAGCTTCGCGACGCTGCTGTTCATAGCATCGAGGCGCTGCTGTGAACGCAGCAGCGTCGAGGTGATGTCGATTGTGAAGTGATGGTGTTGGAGATGGAACATGATTTTCAGTTCCATTGGCGGTAGTGGCTTCAGATCTGGAGTCGGTGGCCATTGCTATAAAGTAGTGCTGTTGAATAGCATAGGCTATGGGTACTACTCTGGGTGTTTACAGTTGTTAATGGTGGTGGCGGCTACGGTGAGGTGGTGGTGAACCATTAAATAGTTAATATGTGAGTGGTTGGTGGTGGAGGTTGTTGTTCGTAGATTGGATCTAGGAGTTTGGGAACTTTTTTTAGATCGATGCCGTGAGATGGTGCATGCATGGGTGTGGTGGTGGTGGTATTTACTTGATGTGGTGTGTGGTGGGTTGACAATGGTGGTGGCAGTCGACGGTGGTGCAGGTGGAGGATCTGGTGATTTTAGTTTTTTGTGACCTAAAAATTATATAATCTGTGATCGTGAAAAAATCTGTGACCAACTAATTTGGAAATTTGTGACTATGTGACATATAAATTTTGATATGTGACCAACGAATTAATTGTGACTTAGAAAATTTTTGAACTGTGACCATAAAATAATCTGG